TCTAAGCAATCTGGTCCTTCTGAGTAGACCATAAGCTGGATTTTTTTACAGTCATCCCTCCATATTCATGGGGTGAGGGGTGCAGGCTCCCCGCAAAAGTGCAAAACCTGCAAATATTTCTAGCCCACCCCACCCCACACTTAATTCTGTTGATGATATGCATACTGGATTGCTCCTCCCTTCCTCCTCTCTCTCTCTTTCTCTTTGTGTGTGCATGCATGTATGTTTCTTCATGTCCACTGGTGTAGCTACAGCAAGTGCTTCATGAATTTCCCTCTCTTTTTTCTTGATATACCAACATATAAAGTAAATCATGTATAAGATGTGATTGATATTTTGGGCTGCTTTATGGTGTCTTGTCACCTTATACACCAATATATATGGTTATGACGACCCTTGAAATAAAAAATACCAAAGCAAAAATTGGGGGTCATCTTAAACACCAATATATACAGCAATAACATGTGGAACAAACAACCTGGAAGTATGTTTCAGAAAAATACCCATATATATTGGCTTATAAGATGAAGGCACAGAACTCAAAAAAAAAAAAAAATCCCATTAAAGTATTGATGGCAAACTTGTAAATAATCAAACCAGCCGTAAGTTGAGGTTTGACTGCAATATTTTGTTTCTTGCTGTTACTTATCAGCACACCTAAAGAACAATGCTTGTGTGTTAGTGGGTTGGGAGACGTCTAGAGCGTATGTGGAGGAAATCACGAGATGAATCTGACCAAACACGTCTACGAGCTCATTATCAAGCCTATGCTGTGGTGGTGAGGGCGGCGAAGAAGAAATTCTTCTCCACTTCCATTGCCTCCTCACAGTGCCGTCCAGCAGAGCGATGCATGGGCTGATACATCCTGGCCCTAAGAAAGATCCTGTACCACCTTTGATGGCCTGCTGTGACAACTTTGCCCAGCACTTCAAGGAGAAAATTGCTCAGATTCGTCACAAGCTGGACTCCACAAGTGATTCAGATTCTTTAGGGGAGGTGCCAGTGACTCCATATGGTCAGGTATTATTGGATGAATTTTAGTTATTGCGGCCTGATGATGTGGACAAGGTGCTTGAACAAGTACGTCCCAGCACCTGCTTACCTGACCCTTTCCCGTCGTGGCTGCTGACCAAAGCCCAATTCAAGGTGTTGGTTATGACCTATAAAGCCCTTAATGGCTTGGGTCCTGGTTACCTGAAGGAGTGCTTATGTCCATATATGCCTGCCCACCCCTTGAGATCAGCGGGAGAGGCCCTTCTCTGGGAACCCTCCTTGAAGGAAATTAGGAGGGTAATTACTCGGAGAGGTCCGCCTGGCGCTGTCGTTATTTGTTTTTCGGTGCCAGGCGAAGACCTTTTTATTCAAACATCATTTTAATTGTTAATATTATTTATTAATTTTATTCTTTGGCCAGGGTGACTTAAATTTTACTGTTATACTGCTAAATTATATTGTTTTATATTACGTTATTTATTATTGTGAGCTGCCCTGAGGCTTCGGCGAATGGGGTAGCATAGAAGCCCTCTGACTGACTGACTGACTGACTAAATAAATAAATATTTGTATTATGTTTTGTTTTATTTTTCTTATTTATGTAAGCCAGCCTGGGGCTATGCGAAAGGATGACATACAAATACTCTGAATGAATGAATGAATGAATGAATGAATGAATGAATGAATGAATTTAAGAACGCTGGACTGGGACACTGGAGATCTGGGTTCTCATTTCCACTTGGTCATGAAGCTTACTGGGTTACTGTGCCAGTTGCTGACCTCTCAGCAAATTCTTCCTCACAGGGTTGTTCTTGTGAGAATATAATGGTGAAGAGGAGAATCTTGTTAGCTGTGTTAAGTTCTTTGCAAGAGGAATGAATACTTTGGGATATAAAAGTAATATAATACTAGAACCCAGGGTCATCCAGTAAATAGTGGGAGATTCAGGACAGACAGAATCTCTTTGTAATTCCATAGTTTACTATTTCATGCAGCTCATAGTTGAAAGATTAGGAAGGTGGCTACCCGGAGGAGGGCCTTCTCTGTGGTGGTGCCCAACTGTGGAACACGCTCCCCAGAGAGGTTTGCCTGGCGCCAATACTTTTTTCCTTTTGGCGCCAGGTAAAAACCTCCCCCCCCACACACACACTATTTTAATTGCTACTTTATCTTAATATGTGGTTTTTATATTTATTATTGGATTCTGTGTTACTTTTATTTTTTATCTTATTGCTGTTAGGGGCAGTATACAAAGGTTTTTAATAAATAAATAGTAAACTAAAGCAGAATTAGGCAAAATCATGGCAGATAAGACAAACAGTGGCTACTGGTTGTTATAGCTATATATTACCTCCAGTATTAGAAGCAGTATGCTTCTATATCCCAGTTCTTGGGAAACATGAGAGGAACATTTTGCAGTCAAATCCTAAATGTAGGATTCCCATAAGCATCTGTCCTGCTGCTGTTCTTTTTGAACAAAGGCTGTCGTTCTAGGATCATGTAACAGTTACCAGAATCCATTTTAGATGTTGTATTTTAATTTTCATTGCAGTTCTGGCAAGCACTTTGCATGTCAATGACAAGTCCTATAAACAGTACTAAGATATTTCCATGATCTTGTCAAGCAGCCAACCAAATTTTGTATAATAGGAATTGGACATTCTTCTGGCAGATCTCCAAATATAACAATTCTAAAGACAAAAGGTAACAGACAAGTTACATCTTTGGTGTATTTTTGGCACTACTTTTTCCAGAAGATTACAGTTAAAAATCTAGACCCTGTCCCAACATGTTACTAAAGGTCTAAGGATAGGTAAATACTGCTTATAATTGTGTATCGGATATAAAATGTATGTTGCCAAGTTACTTCCCTAATTTGACATTTTATGTCTGTTCAAATAGAGGGAGAGATGCCTACACATGACCTTAATATAAATATGAATATCATACTGTCTGTATTAATATAATTTTGTGCTTGTGAGATTTTGTTTGGGAAAGCATCCTGAGGAGAAAGAGTTAAGCACCTGCTTCTCATAGGCTGGTCTGTTTGGCAGAAGGGCAGGGGGAGTTGCATGTAACACCTGACTTTGTGATTTTTGGCCTCAGAATGTCTTTTTCTAGATTATGAGTTTCTCCTTCAAAACAAAACTAACATACATGGGAGGTTTTACTGTCTAATAAGTCAGAAGTTGAATTGTTCCCCCTTTCAAATTTTGTTCTCGAAGCTTAACTTCTTATCCTATTACTTGCTTTTCTATACATTCAGTTGATGAAAATGAGGCACTCATGAGCAAGCATGCTTGCATTGGGCATGGAGCCCAGATTAGCAGAGAGATCCACAATTACAGGAGGGGTACAGAAAGCCTGATTGTCAAAAAGCCTGGGGCAAGAAAGTCTTTGATCTTGGCAAGCAAGTATGCTGTGGCAGGGAGGCTGCATTACAACAGTTAAACTAGACTGTCAGAATGATCTGAAGTAGTTTGGGGAGAGAGTTTTTTTTTCTCCAGTTCTGAGTGGTATCAAAAAGACTTTCTTACTTTACCACTTCCTTCCCTTTCTGAGTTTTCTACAGATCTGATTAGTGAGCAGAGGGGTGGGGGAGACTACCTACACTCCTTTTAAACTTTTTCTAATGTGTTCAGTATTGTGTTCTAGTTTCTTTCCCTTCCTTGTACAAGGCTTTCTCCTGCATGTGGTCAGCTTTGCTTCCCTATTGCAGCAGTGTCCTGTTCATGTGTCCTTCTGCAGCTGTGTCTAGCTCAGTCCGGAGGCAATCTATGTGGAAAATTCATTTGACAAAATATGAAGACAAGCAGAGATCAGCAGCACAGGTTTATTGGTCAGGAAGGACAGTCCAAAAGCAAGTTCTGAGGCAGAGCAAATGCCAAGAACACAGGCAAACAGTCGAAAAAGCACAATCCAAAGAACAGGTTTTATGAGGAGTCCAGGGATCAGTTGAATAAGTGTTAAGTCCAAAGAAGAAATGAAGTGAAGAAAACTAGCTTGCAGAATATTAGAGGCTGAAAAGAATTGTTGTTTTAGCTACCAGTAGGTTGTAACTAGAAGTTTATATAGCTACGTTTCCCAGCTCATATCCAGATATAACTGGAAGTCCTAGTTTCAGAGGCTGCTTACTCCTGAGGAGGGAGTTACAGTGACTTTTAAATTCTTGCACAGACCTTTGTTCTCAAGGAGCCTGGTTAGCATAGTCCAGGAGCTTAGTCTGTGAACAGGTAAGATGAATGAGAGAATTTTGAATCTTATGAATCCATGGACACAACAGGCCCTGAGAATTACCTGTTTTGGATCCTATCCCTGGAGGAAATATTGCCAGCAGTAATTCTACATTTGCAGAACTTCCTGTGGTTGTACTGCTCAGCAGCTGGGGTAGAAGCTCCATCCTACTGGTGTGGTCCCTCATTGCTGGTGGAGCAACACTATTTTATTATCCCTCAGATAACCTTCAACAGGGGATTTTATTGTTCTGCCCAAGGCCTTTTATTGTCACTGGATAAAAGTCCTTTTTTCATACCTGGCCCAGGTTCAAAATGCTGTAGTGCTACTTCAGATTTGCAGCTAGAAAAATCATTTCAAAACAATCATAGCCTCACTTTCAATGGTATTTCACTAAAAGTTCAGCCCTGGTTAAAAACAAAATAAGAACATTCCAGAAACTAGAACATCAGATAGTACCCCCCTTTTTCCTCATTCTTGTTTTTCCTCTTTGTAGTTCCATACTGTTCAGGAAAGCCTACTGTCATCTAGCCCTTCTTCTGTAGTGCTCATTTTTCAGTCTCATACTTGTTACCTGCCCATGTTTTGCAGGTTGCTGTTTGTTTGAAAGAACCTTTCTTGCTAAATGAAGAGCTTTGCATAATACATATTATTATATTTATTCAACTTGACTTGTACTTTAGATAAAACATTTAAAGAAAATTTCTTTTGCACTTTAAACAGCTTAGCATGTTTTCATTTGATGGGTCTATAGTAGTTTCATTTATTTCCAGATTTCCATAGAGAACGATTACTTAGGACCCCGAAGAATTGAGAGTCTACAAAAAGAAGATGCAGACTGGCAACGGAAGGCCCACATGGCTGTACTTTCAATACAAGACCTTACTGTGAAATATTTTGAAATAACAGCAAAAGCACAGAAAGGTAATACACTTTTCTTGTTTAACATGTTCTAATAAAGGCTTTTGTCTGTTACTGAACTGCTAGAGACTTCACTGCAGATATATAAGGAAAGGGGCTTCTGGATGAAGATATAAGTATTTACAGTTGTTCAGTTTTATAAATTTTATGTGAAAAGTTTTACATTATTAGTTCCCAACAAAACTATCATGTGAATGGAGGCATTTCTATTATGCATACAAGGAATTTTGTTTGGCTACTGAGTTTGTGATATTCAGCTCTTGAAACCCAGGCCTCATAGTTATGGTTTGCTTCAAATTTATTCCATTACTAGTTAAATGAATACACTAATTGTAATTAAGAGGTTGTTGGTCCTGGTTTGTTAACCCTTTTAGAAAATGAGGAATCTGCATATTTATACTGTAAACACTTGAGAAACATGAAGGGTAGCATATTTCATCCCTGTGAGGGAAGGGCCTCGCATAGGACTGAATGGAGCCTTCTCTTCCTGCCTTCCCCTGCCTCAGTCTAATCCTCAGGGGGCATGTGAAATGGTATTCTGACTAGCACTCAGAATTGGAGGACTGATCTCAGATGTTCATCTTTTGTCTTTCCCCTCTCAAGGACATGGCCTGCAAATTACTGAACTCTTTCCCAAACTTTTAAGTATGCAGATTTCACATTAAAAGAAGATACAACATTTGGTTGTTCCGAAAAAGCACAAAATGGTTTGCTTGAGATTGAAAAGTGGTTATTTATAAAGTAGAAAGTCATGCCTAAGAATGGTGTTGGAGTTAATGTTCAAATGTCTTGATCAGAGAGGAGCTGGCTTGCATTTTAATGTGTTTCAAATTCACAATTCCCGTACTTACACATATGATGAAATTATACGACAGTATTTACACTTGCCCTAATTATGCAGTGCAGCTTACAAAAACAAAAAATGTATTATAATAAGAACTCTATACAATGGTTTCTGTGTTAGGGGAAAGTGTGAAAATCCTCATCATATTAGGAGAAATTGTTTGCAAAATAAATAAATTTTCTCAGTGGATTCAAAAATGCATATGTTATAAGGAATGCATACAAATATACTTACAGGTGTGGTACAAACTTCTAAAAAATCAAGAAAAAGGATGGAAAATACCTAATGTAGAAATAATAAGAAAGTGATTAGAATTGGATTTGTACAGATTTATCCATCCCTTGTATTGATGCTGCCAGTACTGCTGCTGGCCTCCAACAAAGTAAAGGAGATTGTGACAGACTTGTATGATAATATGTGCAGTGTTGTTCTACTGAGTTGCACTTTGTCCTGTGGTTTAATTATGTTATAGAATTATGCACTGAAAGAACAGGCCATATATAGGATGTATGTATGATGTATGTAAGTATCTTTGCTGTTTTCAAAACAAAATACGTTATCTGAAAATACTTCCTGATGCTTTTTCATGTATCAAATAGGAATCTCATTTTGTGTTCACTTTATAGTGATATATGCCTGAGTTTTTAAAAATGAAATGTTAAGCATGCGTGGATATTGTATGCTATTTAAACAGTTTAGTTTTACAGCTGTGTATGATCGAATGCGGACAGACCAGAAAAAGTTTGGCAAGGCAGCATGGGCAGCAGCAGTGGAACGAATGGAAAAACTTCAATATGCTGTGTCTAAGGAGACGTTGCAGCTGATGAGAGCAAAGGAAATCTGTTTGGAACAGAAGAAACATGCACTGAAAGAAGAGGTAATTTCTCTGAGTAATGCACTTCTACAAATAAGACTTTCAACTCTTAATTTTAAACATTGTACTGTGAGAAATTCGGAACAGATAAAGGAAGTACTTCTTCCCACGGTGCCTAGCTAAACTATATCTACTACAAGATATAGTAACAGCAACCAATTTGAACAGTTTTCAAAGGGGTTTAGATAGATTATGGAGGACAGGGCTATCTAGGGCTACTAACCCTGCTATCTGTATGCTACTACCACTAATAGAGAGGCAGCATAACTTTGCACACCCTTTGCGGGAAACACAAATGGGATGGTGCTGCTGCACTCATAACATCTTTGTGGTTTTCCCACAGGCAGCTGCTTGGCGACAGTGTGAACAGAAAGCTGGACTAGATGGAGTCTTGGTCTGATCCAGCTTAGCTCTTGCTATGTACAAATGTACAGCACTGACTGTGGATAGAATTTCAGGATTATTTCTATTCTAAGTCATCTTCAGGGATTGAGCACACAGTTTTAGATTTGACACTAGGGATGTGAGAGTTATCTGTGTGGAAATTCTGTCAGATTCCCTAGTTTTGACTTCCTGGACTTTGATTCACTTTGCAGCACCCAGAGTCCAAGTTCCTGGTCAGTGCATCCAAAGTTTGTGGAGTGTTCACCGGGAATTGAGGCCCATGCACTGTGCAAACAGTGCCATTCTTCCATGTTTGCTTCTGCTGGACTTATTCTTGATTCAGCTCACTTTGCAGGACTGGGCTGAGCATGAGAGGAAGTCCAGTGATTTATCCCAATCCTAACTGACAACTGATAGACAGAATGCTTTCTTCTTGGAGCCCTTCATCTATCATAAGTCCATCCAGCATTGCCAGGCAAAGTGGGAGGAATGGTAAAGATTCTATGGCCTCTCCATTCTTTGTTTTTGTGTTCTGTGATGGACTGACTTCTGTGTTCAATTAGTTTACTAGCTTGCTTTGCATGGAGACAGGTCCTGAGACATTTGTGGAGCTAGTGGATCCATGTTCTTTTTCCTTATGTCCTGAAGTCCATCCCTCAAAACACCCATATCCTCCACTCTTAAGGTCATGACACTAACCTTGGCAGAACAAACCACCACAAAGCTTTCTGCAGTGGCTTGGGAGAGCTGGTCAATCCAGGCAGGGGATCTCCCTGCTCCATCTGAGGTTATAGCTTTATCCCAAGTATACTGACCTGTCAGAAATGTATTGAGAATTGCTTTCCTCAAAGTCCAAAGAAATTGACTTGTTATCAAAATATGTTTTGAAAAGAGTAGAAAATTATCAAGAATTGTTATTTGATTTACTGGAAAGGTTTGATGTTATTTTAACTTTAAAGCTTGTAGAAGCTAAATGTGGCATGGCTTCTGCAGCAGTTCACTCTTTTTAAAAATTATTAAAATGTTAATGGCTTGATGGTGTATATTTTTATGATGTTTACCTGACATTTTCCCAGGTCCATTGGAAAAATTAATGATAGTTAAATTGGTGTAAAATTACCATGTTTACCACAAAGTTAAATCCTTGAATATATGGCAGTTCTTGTATTTATTACAAATGTAGGATAATTGCAAGGGTGGATTTGATTTCTGTTAAATTGATTTAAATCATGTTTTAAATCATTAAATCAGTAAGACTAGATTTAAATAGTGGCATTCTACATAATTTGCATTCATACCTGCCTTACTCATAGGCAGAGGAACCTCTACCTGCAGCCTTATAGGTTTTCTCCTCTGGAGAAAGGGTATACACTAAAAGATCCAAAGACTTGTGGAGTAGTCTACTCAAAGGTTTCACTTTCATTTTTGCTGCTTGCCCCTCCCTCCTCACACTTAGCTTCTTGTGCAGATTTACTCCACTCCCAACAATTTTCTACTCATTGAATTTTTTGAAATCTTAGCACTTAAGAGGTAAGGGATTGATCCTGCCTACATTGATTTGCAGTGGAGCATTGAGATTAAGGTATTTTTCTCAACTCTATATGTTTATTTTATAACATTTTTGCTGTGAAGAATAGGCATGCGATCTCTGCAGACAAATTCAGAGTTTTGAAAATTGTAAAACCAAGGATCTGTGACAATACTTTCCAGACAGAAAAATTGCCTGATAATCTTATAGAAACGTCTGGAAGAGCATGACATGGTAAATGGATTAATGGAATTCATTTATGAACAACTGTAAATATTACATGAATATACAGCCTCATGTTACATAATTAAAAACATCCTTATTTCAGGATGAACTATCTTTGGACTATAGTGTATCAAGTAGAAAACTATCTTTAGGGTAACTACTTCTTTAGTATTTCTTTCAATCTTGAAATGTATAATTTATTTTAACACATTGGTAACAAATAAGTACATGAGTTATTTTTAAAGATTTCATATGCTACATTGCTAAGTATATTTAGACATGCTAAGAAAGAAGTCACAGTTCTCAGAACAATACAGCTGGCTTGGGAATTATGGGAGTCTGAGGATGTTTCTTTGGTTTAAGCATGTGCCCTTAGCCGCTTGTGTTCAAGACTGGATCACCACTTTGAAAATGGCTTGCTGAAATTCTGTTGACTGTCATACATAATAATTTATCTTAAGTAATGAACTGTTTCCCCCCTGCTTACATTGTTTCTTAGCAATCAGTGATGGATTGTGAGACCTAATTTGCCTCAAATTTGCCTCCTAAGATATAAATTTCTGATGCAGGTGAAGACCACAATATTGAGTTTCTGTTGTTTTTTTTATCATTTTCAAAACATTTTTCTTTGGTAACCTTTGTTCCAGATGGGTGGGATTTATTTTTTTTTTTTAACCTACCAAGGTTTGTTTCTTCTAAGCACATTCACAGATATGTGAAAGATGGGCATTTATAGTCTGAGAGGAACAGTGAAGTTCTTCGTCATGGCCTCTATGCATCACACATATAGGTGCTGCGCCTGTGCAGTGCCTAGGCCAGAAGATTACAAAGCTAATGGTTTTTTCTTTTGGCGGGAAAAACTCCTCTCCCTCCCCCTCAGTAGTATAAATAGAGCAGAGTGTCCGCCATTTTACTCAGTCTTTGCGACCACCGTTCGCTGTGCCTCATGCCTGTTAATGTCCCTCGCTAAGATCTTTCTGCTTACTGTCCGTTTGGCCTTTATCCCTTCTTCAACTCAATTCTTACATTCCAAGTTTGTATATCTTCCCCATTTTTCCTCTACTCTTCATTTTCAAAAAAAACAAAAACAAAAAATATTATCTTCTATCCTGTCGTCTTTTCTTCCTTTTCCGCGATGGTGCAGCAAGCGGCCTTCCGCAAATGCACCGAATGCGGATCCAAGATGTTGCCTGCGGAGCCGCATGATCTATGCTTCCTCTGCCTCAGCGAGGGGCATAGAACTGACACGTGCGGCCACTGCTTGGCATTTACCAAGCAAGCGAGGAAGAACAGGGAGAATCGTCTCCGAAAACTCCTCTGGGACCAGGCCTTGATGTAGTCCAATCAACTGCTCTTACGGCCTGGTTTCTCTTCAGCCGCACCTCCTCAGTGCTCTTCCTCAAATGTGAGCGCTCCTCCGAAGTGTCCTGCTTCCACCGCTCCTCCACAGCGTCCTTCGGCTGAAGGAGCTACTCCACCGGAGACCCACTTGCCGCCTTTCTCCCCAGCCAAGAAACGGGAGAAGCGCAAGCACACTGGCTCGGATAAGCCTTCCGCTCATAAAAAACCAAGGAAGGAGAGGGCGGATAAGCCCGCCCATAAAACCAAGAAACCCGACTGCCCCAAACACCGGGGCTCCGGTTTGTCAGGCTTCTCAGTACCGTCTGCCGCCACGGTACCGATCGCTTCGGGACCGGCCCTGCAATCTACTATGCAGGTAACACTGCCGGGATCCCCCAGGCCTATCATTCGGCCTGAGAGCGCGCCGCCTTAACACACGGAGGAGCCGCTTTGAGAGTCCATCTCTGATGGTGAGATTAGAGACTCCCCACCGAGGGAACAATCTCCAACACCAGTGCCCGCTACTGAGCCACCTGCGGAATCACCATCGCCACCCAGGCGTCGCAGCCGCTCGTCGGAACAATGGGATGATGATTGGATGATGCATGAATATGGTGCCTTCCCAGACTGGGGTGGTTATCAATCCTATCCATACTTCCTTCAGGATTGTAGATCTCCATTGGTCCCGGGAGACTTGCCGGCAACATCCAGATGTGTGGAGAGGGGACGCCCGACCTCCCCTGAAACATCGTCCTCGAGCGACTGTCACCGCTATTGTCCAGACTCTACATCCCCTGATGTAGCGATTACCTCCCAAGGACCTGCTTCACCCGATGAGCCACATGTCTCCTTTACAGAGCTCATGTCCTGCCTCGTTTGTTCCCTTGAGATCGAAGCGAACCAACAGCCCAGTCCATCTTCAGATCGGTTCTATGATGTCGTGAGGGGAGAGCAGTCCGCGACCATAGCCTTGCCGCTAATCACTACACTTCGGCATGCTATGGTCCAACCCTGGGATCAACCGGCCCAACCACAGGCTACCTCCTGTCAGTATGAGGCCATGTACAGAGTTCGAGAGGACAACATCCCATTCTTGCTCTGCCACCCGAGACCGAACTCTGTCATGACAGAAGCGTAAGTGGCAGTGGCCTCGTTTCTCCTATTGTCAACAATTCCACCCTCAGCAGCACTACCAGCAGCGGCAGCAACGTCGGAGGCAGCAGTCGCAATGTTTTTCCTAGGGCCGTCGATGTTTCAATGCCGATAAACGCCAACATTGATGGCCTGGGCGAACCATCCTCTCTCTTCTAACGCCACCTTCCCCTCTCCCTTTTGGGGACTGGCTCCAGGGCCGACTCCCCATTTGGGAGTCCATTACATCTGATAGGTGGGTGTTGTGTATCATTCAGTTCGGATATAGGATAGAATTCGATGTCGTCCCTCCACCTAGTCCGATTCGATTTACACCTTCTTCATCGGTGCTGTGCGACGAATTTCTCAGTTGCTTCGCAAGGGTGCAGTTTGACAACTATCCTGCTCAGAGGGGTTGCATGGATTCTACTCCAGATATTTTACTGTTCCGAAAAGGGACGGTGGTTTTCGTCCGATTCTGGACTTATGAAATCTTAATACGTACATCAAACCAAAAAAGTTTCAGACGACCACTTTACAAAATATCTTTCTGTTACTGAAGAGAGAGGATTGGTTTGCCTCACTGGACTTGAAGGATGCCTATTTTCATATTTCTATCCATCCTTCGCACAGACGCTTCCTGCGTTTTACTGTTGGGCTCGATATGTTCGATTTCAATGTTCTGCCCTTTGGCCTGGCCACTGCACCTTGAGTTTTTAAAAAGTGTATGGTGCCAGTATGCGCACATTAGGGACACAAGGAGTGCAAATACATCCATATTTAGATGACTGGCTAATTGTTTCGCAAACTAAACAAGGTCTTCTATCTGCTATACACGTGACCTGCACCCTGCTCAATGATCTTGGGCTATGCATTAACCGCAAGAAATCGTCCCTTATTCCCACGCAGGTCATCGACTTATTGGGGCATGTCTTGACTCCATATGGGAAAGAACCTTTCTCCCTCCGAAATGTCAAGATACCTTATGTGGCCACATCTGTCAAATCGGAATGCTCAGAATGGTTCCAGCTATATCCATTCAAAGACTACTGGGGCACATGGCTGCTGCAGTTGCCATTGTCCTGTATGCCATGCTACGTATGTGGCCCATACAGCTGTTTTTCAAGACTTCATTTCACCCGCAGCAAGATTCTCCCAACAAACTAATCCAGATTCCGTCTGTGATACTCCGTACTCTAGCTTGGTGGACCATTCCAAACAATCTGTCTATCAGTGTCCCTTTTCGACCACCTCATCCAACTACAACCCTATACACGGACGCATTGCTACTCGGATGGGGTGCATTATGTTCGGGACTTCGGGTCCAAGGGACTTGGAACCAACGAGAAACAAGGAAGCACATCAACTTCCTCGAACTTCAGGCAATCTTCAATACCCTCAAGGCTTTCGAGACTGTGCTATGCCATCAAGTTGTCCAGATTGCATCAGACAACATACCTGCTGTTTTCTATATCAACAAGCAGGGTGGCATGAAATCACCAGCCTTAGCACATCTATCGATGGCCATTTGGGATTGGTGCATACTGAGGGACATAATGCTCCTAGCGGTTCACCTTGCAGGAACCGACAACACCGAAGCAGATATGTTGAGCAGACATATGTCAACAATGCACGAATGGGAGATGGACAGACAAATATGCCATAACCTCTTCCGTTTCTGAGGCTATTCGGACATGGACTTGTTCACCACTCAGGACAACAGAGTGTGTGCCCTATACTGCTCCAGAGCGGGCATTGGATCAGGATCGATGGGGGATGCTTTTATGATCCCTTGGGACAACATAGCTTTTTATGCATTTCCTCTGATCCCATTTCTAACGAAAGTGGTGGCAAAAATAGCTCAAGAGAATGCCACGGGAATAATAACTCCGTGGTGGCTGAGGCAACCGTGGTTTGCCACTCTTCTGCAACTATCCAGAGGAACATTTCTTCGCCTCCCGTCTATTACTCAACACAGCAAAAAGGAGCGATCCGGCATCCAGATCTGACTGCCTTGAAGCTGACGGCATGGCGGATCACTTGAGCCATTTCACTGCGTCCATACCGATGACATCTCAATCTATAGCGGATTCTATTCACTGGACTATACAAACGGCTCCTACTTGGGTTTCGACGACAATTGCTTTGCTACCGATGACTATTGACCAAGAAATTCAGGCGATTCTCTAATCTGCATTAAGACCGTCCACTCGTCGCTCTTATGCGGCTAAGTGGAAAAGATTCTTGTCCTTTGCAGAACACCATTCCTTTCCTCCTGGAATGGCTCCAATTGACAATATTTTGCAATTTCTCTTGGAACTGTATCACTCAGGACTGAAACCATCATCCATTAAAGTTTATGCAGCCGCCATATCACACTATCATGGTGCGGTTCAGGGTGTATCAGTTTTCTCTCAGCCTCGGGTTTGACACTTTATTTGGGGGTTACAGAACTTACATCCTTCTATTCGCCCCGCTATGCCAATGTGGAGCCTTTCTGTAGTACTCCAAGCACTTACTAAACCTCCGTTCGAACCTTTGGCAACTGTCGACCTACGCCTGGTGTCCTGGAAAACGACCTTCCTCATAGCAGTAACATCAGCTCGGAGAGCAAGTGAGCTTTCTGCTCTCCGCATAGACCCTTTATACTTAATTTCTATAAGGAAAAGGTCGTCCTTCGTATGGAGTCTTCATTTCTCCCTAAAGTAGCTAAACCATTCTACTTGAGTCAAGACATTGTTCTGCCGGCGTTCTATCCAGCGCTGTCGAATCCAATAAAACGGGCTCTACACACCCTTGATGTTCGCCGCTGCTTAGCTTTTTATAAATCCCGTACAGAATCCTTCCATCAGACTAATAAACTTTTTGTTAAGTACTCCGAACATGACAAGGAATCGCCAGTTACACCTCAAAGACTATCTAATTGGATCATCCAGACTATTGTCTTGGCCTACCAACTATCCAAAATAGACTTGCCTGTTACCCCAAGGGGTCACTCCACGTGAGCAGTAGCTACTTTGTCCGCCTTTGCCGCAGGGGTTCCACTTCAGGATATCTGTAAAGCTGCAACGTAGGCTGGACCATGTACTTTCACCAAGCACTATCGGCTTGATGTACACGCCAGGCAGGACTGCTCTTTCGGCAGAGCTGTTCTTTCATCTGTTCTTTGCTGACGACACCTCCCTCCTCCGAGTTGGGTAAGCTTGCTAATTGCCCATATGTGTGATGCACAGAGGCCACGATGAAGAAAAGCAGGTTGCTTACCTGTAACTGATGTTCTTTGAGTGGCCATCTGTGTATTCACACAGCCCACCCGCCGGCCCCACTCGGTGTCGGTGAGTGGATGGTTTTTTTCCTCTCGGTATTGTACTCTAATTTACATCGGTACCGTTAGGATATGATGATGATTTTTTTCTCTCAGTACCATATTTTAATTCTTATCGGTACCATTGGGATATATGATGCTTGTTGAATTTACACTCAACCTCTAGAGGGCAAACGTTCGGTCTTCAAGACTGAGTAAAATGGCGGACACTCAGCTCTATTTATACCACTGAGGGGGAGGGAGCAAAGTTTTTCCCGCCAAAAGAAAAAACGGTTAGCTTTCTAATCTTCCGGCCTAGGCACTGCGCAGGCGCAGCACCCATGTGTGTGAATGCACAGATGGCCACTGGAAGAACATCAGTTAAAGGTAAGCAACCTGCTTTTTTTCCTGGAAGCAGACCAGATCCTACAGTTGCTAGGCTTTGTCATTGTGATGATAACCAGAAGTGTTAAATCATGGAATGCTCTTTGTAGTTCTCTAAGTACATAAAAAGTTTTGATATTTAGAATGGTATGTTTTGACATTACTTTAGAGTCTGAGTTGAATGTTTCAGGTCAACAATTTTCAATTTGAAAATGGGCTTTTAGAAACCTCAAAAGTTTTTCCCCAAAAGATTTCTAAAATGTGCACCTTAAAACTGGTCATAGCTGTTCTCTGAACCAATTAACAGCAGCTTTGGTGCATGTTTGTTATTCTCTTTGTTTTAAAATCAGTCTCCTCCTGTGTTATCAGATAGCTTATCAGACTTGACACTGTGTCAGCACTGAAGAGGGCAAATGAGTGGCAACAACACTGGAAGACAGACTGATTTTATTGCCACCTGAATGCCAAGTGAGCTTTTTGTGTATCAGATGCACCTGAATATATGTTTGATAGGGGGCAGGGTGACTATGCATGGACAGTGTTATCCCCTTTTGTGCTTCTAGAAAATTGGTCAAATAGTGTAGGCATATTTTAGGGGGGAGGAAGTGGTGTGTTTTAGGTTAGTTTTATTAGATCTTCCATCTGAAATTATGGCTCTTTTTTTCCTTTTCAGATGCAGAGCTTACAAGGTGGCACCGAAGCCATAGCACACTTGGACCAACTTGAAGCTGATTATTATGACCTGCAACTTCAGTTGTATGAAGTGCAGTTTGAAATTTTGAAGTGTGAAGAACTGCTGCTGACAGCACAGCTTGAAAGCATCAAAAGACTTATTTCAGGTGACACACATTCACTCTACATTTCATTTATAGTACTTTACAAGTTGCTGTAGGGCCCTGTACTACAATTTGGTTACTAAGATTGTTCTGAGTCTGCAAATTTCTCACACCATTCGAGAAACAATTGTTCAGTGTCAGAAGTAAGTCCTACTGTGTTCAGTGGAATTTACTTTGATATAAGCATACATAATATTTAGTTTCCCTTCTTCTGAGGTGGTCACATCAAGAGTCAGATTGTTGAATGAAGTGCATTTATGCTTGATGGTTAAAAGAGTTAACTTGTGAATTCTCAGGAGATTTTCCAAATTCCTGGTTTAACTGATCACCACAGTCCCCTCTTTGAATGGGGAAACAATGTCCCTCCCAGATAGGCTTGGCCAAATCACCTCAGGCCAAAGGGTCATTTGCCTTAGCTCCTGTGGCTTTCTGCTCTGGTCACACTCAGCTGAGATATTATGTATTACTGGATTTTTGTTTGTTTATGTATGTTTCTGTAGACAGTACCTGTACAAGGTAACCCTCAATCCCATTTCAGCGTTGTGATTACCCTTCCAATATCACTTTCATATTTTTTGTACATCATTGCTGAAGGGTTGTTCCAGATCTTAGAACATGGTGTTGTTCAAGTGTGTCTGCATTAAAAAGTATTAAAATTGCTAGTATTTTCTGACAGAGAAAAGAGATGAAGTAGTATATTATGATACTTATGAAAGTATGGAAGCCATGCTTGAAAAAGAAGATATGGCAACATCTATACAATTGCAAAGAGAGGAGTTACAGAAATTGCAACAAAAGGTCCGCCAGCTAGAAGCAAGGCGTGGGCGCATTTCAGCCAAGAAAGCCTACCTCAGAAATAAAAAGGTAAAACAATCCTTTATCAATTCATTCATTCACTGCTGAACAAAGAGTTCATGAGGTAGTTCACACACTCCAATATAAAAAAATAGCGTAACAATAAATTATGTCCCACCTTATTGATTCTGCAACTGTAGCTTTAAGGGATGGATAAGGGAGGTAAGGTGCTGATTCCTCTTAAGGGGACTGCAGCAAGACTTACATAGATCTTATAAAGAACCTTTCTCTGGATAAAACTTTATTTTTTCTTAATAAAACAGTTATTGCCATTGCAAATGTATTCTGTTTGGGCGAGATGCATGAGATGTTAGATCCGTTGTACTCTGGTTTCTAGCCTGATTATGAGATTAAAGTGGTGTTTTGACCCTAGTGGATGACCTGCACTCAGGAACTGACATGAAAACATGACCAAGTCATTTCTCATGAACTTCTCAGCAACTTTTTATACTATTGACACTAGCTTCCTTCTGGACCACTTTGAAATAATGCTCTGCAGTGGTTATAGTTGGAGGGTCAGTTCTTGAAAATAGTGCTAGGGGGCTGCTGTTCAGTCCTCTTGCCTACAATATATCTGCCGTAAGGTTCCATCTTATTCTGTGTGCTTTGTAATGTTTAAAACTGTTTGGTAAGGTCATTCAGAGATTTGGGATGGGGTGTCATCTATATGCTGATAAAGTCCAGCTGTCTGATTAATTTGCACCATCTGTTTTTGCAGAAACTGTGGAAATTATAAATTGGTATAAGGAATCACGTTTGAATGGGAGAAGTGTGAATGAACTGCAGCTTAATGTAGATAAACTGTGCTGAGTTTAGAGGTAGTTAAAGAGCCTTGTTTTCTAGATAACCTCACAGGCTCACAAGTATGTGGGTGTTTACAAAATCTGGCTTATAGTTATGGATGCATTAAGCTAACTTTGCCAACTGTATCTGGTTGGCCAGCTGTACTCTTTCCTGGAAAAATTATAACTAGCTTTATGGTGCTAAACTGTGGCCTCCCGACACTGGGGGGAGGGCATTGGATTTATTGGAGCCCCAGCTTCATGATCCTGTTATCTTGGTGTACGGACTTCAAAAGCCAAGCCCCTGCCCTACCGCACCTCATAGGCAGTGCAGAAGGAACTGCATCACCTGCCTCCCCAAGGCTACAACTAGGATTTGGAGAAGGTAAAAAGAAGCATGCTGGAGGTCTTGAGTGGAGAGGCAGGGACCAATGATTTCTGTTGACACCCCAGCTTTTTTCGCTTTCTTGCTGCTAGATTTTGATGGCTGAAGACAGCCATCTAGAGAAATTCCATCTCAGTAGGAGTTCATCTGACTCAGGATGTTGATTGTACCCTCAGATGTTCATTGCATAGTCACTTCCAGATTGGATTATGTCATGAACTGCCATAGAAGACAATCTAGAAAGTTATGTTGATTCAGAATGTTATGGCAAATCACATGTCTGAGGTTAGCAGCACAGATTATATTAAGGTTAATTTTGTGCCAATATCATTAGTTTCCAGATAGTTTCTCAGTTCAATTTGGGGTTTTAAAGGCAACTTTTGGCCTTTATGTAGAGGTATTACTGCCCTAGTGCTGTCAAATAGAGACACAGTAGCTATACTAAGCAAAACTTGAAAAAGATGCTCTGGTTTCAGTTGCCATCTGCTACTTAAATGACAAAGTCAGATAAATCTAGGATTACCATACTCCCCTGTGTACCTGCTCTTTTAAGAGAGTAGACCCTTATCCAAAGTAGGTCACACAACAACTCCTAGCTGAAGATTCCCCCGCAACCAACATACCTGCATTGTATTGAATAAATTTCAATTTACTGACTTCTGTCCTGCCCTTTACAAACAACAGATGTCTGGCAGGGATTCTACCACTTCAGTAGGATTTAAGGAAAAGAAGATGTTTTGGCAGATATACTGATAACTCTATACTCATAATTCTTGCACAGCTCCATCCTCATCTGTATAGATATTAAACATCATTTTGTGGCATTCAGCAACCTTGTTCCCATGTTGTTGAGCCATAATTCCCTAGCACCACTTTCTGAGAACTGCCAAATTAAGTAGAAGTACTGCAGTGCAGTTCATCCAGTTCTTAGTCTTGCCAGGTGGCTCAGCATTGAAAGCTGGGTTCAAAAGAACATATAGTTAATAAGAAGTGATCAGATTATTTCCTTACTTTGTGGCCACTTATGTCAATGTGACTTGGTATCCTGCCTCATAGCTAGTTATTTCTGTCAGTGTGGACAAGTTTTCTGCAAAGACCAGAAAATTATGCTTTGAGTAAAAATTTTGGTTTGGATAGATTAATCTCTGTCTAGTCCATATTTAATCATTTTTAATGCAGACTAGATTCTTTGATCAGCTTACAAATGTGAATTGCTTGTTTTGGTAAACTTGCTCAATTTAGTTGTAATGGTCTTGGGTTGGCCAGAGAACGAATTATGCTGCTTTCTTTTTGGTACCCCAGGTTTCAGTACTTGTATCCTCTGTTGTTGAACCACATTTTCCATTACATCCAAACTGTTCTTTCCAGACCATGATCTGATATGCAGTTTGGTGAATTAACAAAAATGTTCTAATTCTTTTTGGAACACATTTCAGAAATTGGCTGTGGACATTTGAACATGTTATGCATCGTTTGGTGATCATAGGCAGCACCTGTAGGTGGTGTATGTGCATGCATGCATGTGTATGTATGAGAGAGAGGGAGGGAGGTTTTAGTGTTCTTCCTACTTCACTGCATGTAGGAAGAATAGGACATCAGGAAAATGACATTGAGGTGGTGATCCTCATGAACTTCAAGGATTGAACTTCAGGATAGTCAACTCCTATTTCCTGTGATTTCAAGAAGCACAATGATATTGTTACTTTAATATCATACTACATGAGATAATGAGCTCACCAGTGCAGTAATGTCTGTGTTATCACCTAGGAATGTTTTGCGATTGGTTACTGTACTTCTTGCATTTTGATTTCCTCTGACTTTTGTTCATGCAACTGATGAAGTAGATAGTGTCCATAGAAGCTTATGCTATGACACATTTTTAGTCTTTCAAGTATCACAAATCTCTGTGGTATGTCAAGGGAGAAAGCTTTGTAAATTCCTTGTCCCTAATGCATTAGCTTCCTTTATGCATTAAGTAATTTGTTTCTATATCAGACAAAGTATTGTCTGAACATTCTCAAAATCAGATAATAAATATTGAAGTAGGGTACTTATTGTTAGAAGAGAAAACATGACACTCAAAATAGGAAAAGAGAAAGGAAAATAGGAAACAAAGTACTTGGTGGCAGTAGCAAAGAGAATGAAGAAAACTATTGACACTACTACCATTGCATTTCGGGATGTGAAGAAAGGAATTTCCAGTCATAGTGCTACTAGGAATTATGCTGACCCACAATATGCTACTGTCAAACATTACAGCTGGAATTTGAGATATCTGCTCAATACAGAAAAGCCATTTACACAGTATACATATGGCAGCAATAGGCTGTAACGTAAAAGAAATCTTGTCTCTAAATTTATGTTGTAATACATGAAATGATGTTGGTGACAGCATTTAGCCATTATTAAAACAACCTTTATTAAAGCTACTTTCTTCCTTGCTATAAGCAGCTTTGTTGATCTAATATAATTAATTGTTATTGTCACCTGTGTGGGCTATAAGCTTTAGTTAATTTATTATTCTTCAATCAGCTGTAATTAACTATGGACACTTTTTAACAACTTATCCTTCCAAATAAATAGATCTTTGGATTTGAAAATTGAAGGAAGCAAGTACTGAATTCATAGTTAATATGCTTATTAAAAATAAACATCTTCAGAGAGAGAAAAGTTTATTTAAATTTACCTCTGAGCTGCAGTACAGTGATTTTTGTTTAAGGTTTACAGATACATGCTCTGATTAAATCCACCATGGGTGATAGGTGGACAGCACATTGAAGAAATGTCCATAATTGGATTTCCCTATTTTCCACTCATTGTCCTGTTTGTGTAAAATGTGCTGTAGAGGAAGGGAAGGCTGCCTCATCTAGTGCACCATCAAAGGGAAGAGTTAGTTCTTAATGGGTCTGTATAGACCGCTCCTTCATGCAACAGTCTCTGAATGATGTCCATAACCTGGGATTCTAGGAATTTGTTCATAAGTGCTGTCTGTTTTGCTATATTTAAATACACTTAATAGGACTATATATAGTTTTTTTGATAAGATGATTGTTGGCAAGATTCTCTCTTAATAGCTTTTAGTATGCAAAGTAACCTTCATGACAAGGTCCTGATAGCAGTTTGATATGGGACCACTATACAAATATAGTTTACTATTATCTCTGTGCTACCAACTGCTGGCTAATTTTAAAAGCATAACAATGGCTAAGAAGAGGAAGGCTGGGTTTGAGTAGAATATTTGAAAGCTGGACTAGTATTATGTTCATATAATTAAGATTATAAATAACTTATAATAAATGCTAGAATGTATTGACACTTCAGTGTTGTTTGAGCTTATGATAGCTGATGTATCAAAAAGAACCAATGAAGCAAATTCTGATATCTACATAAAAGCGTAACTATTTGTATAAAATCTGTTGCAGCCTGAAGTCTAGGCTCTTCTAGTCTAGGCTCCAAGTTCTAGAAATACTCACCAATCTTTTCAACCAAAAAAGCTGCCACACCTACTTCCAAAAAGCTGCACAATGTTCTAAAGTCCCCCAGTCAGTTATGAACTGTTCTGTACTATATCAAAAACTTATTTCTTGCAACAAACCTATTGTTCTTTATAGTCTCTGTACATATGGGCTCTGTATCTACATGGGGCATGTTGTCAAGATTTCCCTAGTTTAGATCAATTTTGGTAGGAGTCCCGCCTCCCTTTCCCTTAGTATACATAAGAGGGGCTTCTACCATTTCCCCAGTTTTTTCTCAACCACCATTTTGGGTGCCTTGGGTTTCTAGCTCTCCATATACTAGGATCTTTTCCTTAGCTTCTGCAACCTCCTAAAGCAGGGGTCCTC